GGCCGCGCGACCTATGGAGACCCAGTCAGAGGCAAGCGCGGGCGCTGCCCAAGCGGATCGCCGGCAACTAGTGCCGCCCGCGCCTGGCGCGACCGCCTTCAAGCGCGGGCGGCCCGTGGCTTTGCTCCATCAAACGGGACAAGGCAAAAACACAGTTGCACAGATACATGCCGGCGGCGCGACTCCCCCCCGCAGATCGCCCTCAGTGGGGGAGACCGCGACACCGGTGACGGAGCGCAGTTGGGAGTGTCTTTGGCTCACGCCAGGGCGCTCGTTGCTCCTCCGTCTCTTTGTATCTTCCATACTGCGTTTATCAGAAGACCTCCTGCTACTGACAAAGGGACAGCGACAGGTTCGCAGCACGGTGGACTCCTATTCCACTGGCGATCTCTCTCGACTAGCGACCTTCCTCCGGCTTCTCACTGGCAGTCTCTCACTCTGCGCGAATCGTGGCGCTGCCTTTCTTAAAATTCTTTTCTGAATGTTTAAATTCTTTTCTGATTCTCTGCGGTGTTGTGTGTACATACATGCAGTTGGTCGACCTCGTCGAGTACCTTGAACCTGCTGGCGAACGTCTTGCACAGCTGGTTTCGCTCGTACTGGCGACCAGCGTCGGTGTCGGGCGCGACAAAGGTGCCGACGACTTTGACACCTTGGATCTCGCCCTCCTGCTGCTCGAGGATTGCAGCTGGGATGCCGTCGACGCCACCCGCCGGGCAGATGGCCTTGATCTTGGCGTCGTTTGACACGCAGCCGCAGTCCTCGAGTCGGTTGGTCTGCAGGCGCTCGAAGGCGTCTGCAGCTGTCTGCTCTGTTCCGCCACACAAAAGCGCCACCACCCTCGCCCAGGGATCTACAATGCTGTCTTAAGATCCGACCTGTGAGCTCTGCCTGCGCTCGGCACCGGGCACCGCCTCGGTATACAAAATGCGCCTGCGGGCGGACCCTGACTGCTTTGACCTTTGAGCTTTGTGCTTACAGATCACAGATCACAAAAGCACAACCCCGGGCCCGAAATCGCACAGTGACAGTCACGCAACACACTCCTCCTCCTGGGCCTCTCTCTTAGAAAGAACAGACAACTCGCCCTGTCCTTTCTTTTTCTGCAGTACTAGCACGCGCCAGTTCGCACCTGTGTCGAGCCTGTGTGCTGTGAGAGAGAGTTCTTGTGTTTAAATTCTTTTTCTGCGCGAATCGTGTATAAATAAATAAACAAAGTGCAGTATAAAATAATAAATAAAACGGACACACCAAACAAGGGATGGGAGAAGGACAGGGTCCCCACCTGCACGAGCAGGATCTTGGAAGGACGATCAGGGACACAGGGGAGGAACGGGAGCGGGGAGCGCATCGCGACACGCAGGGGGGCTGGGAAGGGTTCACCCACACGACAGGGTCCCAGGGATCCCCCTCTCCGCTCTCGTATAGGACAAAGTTGCACCCGGCGGACGGGGGCAGGCGCGGGCCTCCTACTGGAATCTCTCTCTCTCTGGTTGCGCTCTCCTAGTTCTCCTGCTACACTGACAAAGCTCAAAGGGACAGCGACGGATTCGCAGCACGGTGGACTCCTATTCCACTGGCGATCTCTCTCGACTAGCGACCTTCCTCCGGCTTCTCACTGGCAGTCTCTCACTCTGCGCGAATCGTCCGTTGTCAAAATTCTTTTTCTGATTCTCTGCAGGGGATACATGCCTTTTATCCCCACCCCTCTCGACGGCGGCGTGGTCTACACCATCCACGCGGACCGGCGTGTCCTCGTCGCCGACTCGCCAGACAGCACCGCCTGGCTGCCGGGCGCTGACGAGGCATGCATGCGTGGCGGGGCAGAGCGCTCGTCCGGCTGGCTTCCCATCGGCGTCAGGCCGGGCGCACCGCCGAATGCACGGCGGTGCAGCTTCGACGCAGCAACGGCAGAGGCGACTCGAGCGTTTTGCGGCGCAGCACGGTGTCGCCATGCGAGACGCCTTCGGTGCGACAAGCTGCGAGCACCGGCCGGCGCATCGGCGCAAGGCGTATGTGACTTCTCTCTCGCGCGAGCTAGCGCCCGACTCGTTCCACGCGGACTCGGAGGCGCTCGGGCCGCTCGCGGGCCGCCTGCTCGGGCTGCTGCGGCTGCTGCACCTGGCGGGGCTGGCGTCCTCGCGGCGCGAGCTCCTCACGGTGCTCGCCTACCCGCACGAGGCGTGGCCGGAGGCGTGGGGAGGGCACACCGAGTTTGCGGCGAGCGTGGACGGGGAGGAGGTGGCCGGAGGCGTGGACGCCGACGGCGAGGCGCGGCGTGCGGCGCTGCGGCTGGTCCCGTCGCCTGGTCGCACCGTCGTCTTTCACGGCGCGCTGCACCACCGCGCCGCTTGGCCGTCGGCCGACGCGGGCAGCGGGCGGGCGGGGTCCGCCCGCCGGGCCTGCCCTGGTCTTGGGGTCATGCCACTCCTCCTCCCAGGATGAGCCGACGCCCCCGGCGAGGAAGGATGGCTGTTGGAAGACACCCACCCGACCGCCGTTCCCTCCCGGTGGGCGGGGGAGAGGATTCCCTCCCCCGGCGGCGCTCGTAAGAAGGGTCTCTCTAGGCGCCCGAAGCCCTCCGGCCCCTGG